TATTACATAATATTTATATTATATTATATTATTATTTTATATTATTTTATATTTATATTAAATTGTATTTACGTTCAATTATATTTATATTCATATTACATAATATTTATATTATATTATATTATTATTTTATATTATTTTATATTTATATTAAATTGTATTTACGTTCAATTATATTTATATTCATATTACATAATATTTATATTATATTATATTATTATTTTATATTATTTTATATTTATATTAAATTGTATTTACGTTCAATTATATTTATATTCATATTACATAATATTTATATTATATTATATTATTATTTTATATTATTTTATATTTATATTAAATTGTATTTACGTTCAATTATATTTATATTCATATTACATAATATTTATATTATATTATATTATATTTAAATTATTATTATTATTATACTAGTACATAATAATTTTGTTTTTGTTTTCTTTTTAATTAACACGTTTAAGGTTTTCAACAAAAATTGATATCGATCAAACGTTGATTTATTTTATACAAGAATTTATCATAAAAGATTAGAAAAAATATCTAAAAAAAAAAAAAAAANAAAATACTCATTAGTATGTGTGTCTGTGTGTGTGTGTAAAAATCTTAACAAATTCGTTGTTATCGATTATTTTTTTTTTTTTTTATTGAAAGGATAAAGATGTGATCTAAAAGTTTGCTGATTGATCGGTTAGAGTTTAACAAGGATGAAAAGTTTGTCTCAACCCCTCTCCCCTACACCCTTTCTCCTATTTATCTTGATCCCTCTATATATTCTTCTAACAAAATGTACTTTTACTTAGTTACTTACTTACTTACTTACTTACTTAGTTACTTTGATATCTTCTTTTTTTCGTCGATAATAAACTGGTAACACCGGGACCATACTACTTACTTGTCGATGGTAAGAAGAACGATTTTTCCTTCAACGACGACAGCAAATCTCTAAGGAACGTTTAAAGTAACGTGACTAACAGTTACTCGATCATGCTATTCTCTTTTCCCTTATCCTCACCCTCACCTTCACCCTCACCCTCATGATCCTCTCTTTTTCTTATTCTTAACGTGAATCATCCCCCCTGTTGGCAACATTTCACGAGATAACGATACAGATTAGCACAGGATGAAGAATAAGATACCTAAACCCTTTCTCATCCCCTTACCCTCATCACCTTTCTTTTTTTTTTTTTTTTTTACCATCCATCAGAACAAACTCCTCTATGGGAAATAATTTATCCTCCTCCTCCCCCCCCGCTTATTTTTTCTTCTTTCTTTCTTTCTTTCTTTCTTACTTTTTTAATTTGTATTTTTATTTTTGCTTACTTTTTCCTCATTTTCTTTTATCAAAGACTTGGAAGAAGTAGTTTGATACTTGTATAGAAAAAATGACGAAACACAGAAAAGAAAAAAAAAAAAGAAAAAAAAGATAAGGTAAAAAGAAAAGTGAAAGGGGTGAGGAAGGAAGGGATGGATAGGATTGAACAAGCAGCACAGTTCTCGAGTTTTAAGTTTTCAACAGTTTCCATAAACTTTGTCAGCGTTGTTTTTGTTTCCCTCGTCTTTTAGCTCACTTCTTTCTTTCATACTATGTTTTCTTTTTTTTTTTTTTACTTTAATCTCCCTCCCTCTAGTACTACTACTACTACTACTACTACTACTACTACTATTACTACTACTGTTCTTTCATCGTAAACTTTTGACGATTTTCGGCAAAAATTTCAAATTGAATTTTATACGAACGAGAATATATCGATGTTCACAAAAGGATTTTTCTTAGGATAAAAATCCTCTTATCTTTTTCTTTCTTTCTTTCTTGAGTACAGGTAAAACTTATGCACCATATAACACATGAAATCCCCCCCCACTTATGCACACAACAAAGAAACCCTCCCCCCGCCCTAACAAAAACAATTGTTGATTTAACAATCATACAATTGGGTAGATAACAATATGATTTTATTGATATTAATTGTATGTTTCGATAGAAATTTATTTGTTTTTTTTTTTATGTATCACTGACAAAATTGTAATTTTAATCGAAAATATAACCACACCTCTCTGGGGTTTTTTTTTTATTATTATTATTGATAAATGAATTAAAGTAATGAAAAAAAAAAAAAAAAAAAAAAAAAAACAAAGTGATGTTAAATGTAACCAAGTATTCAACATTATTTTGTGATGAATATTTTGTATTAAATAATTGGTATTGTAGGAAATTTCAGTGGAAACAATTCGTATATTGAAAAAAAAAAACAATTGGTTTTTTTTTTCTTTTTCAGCATTCGTAGAAAATAATCATAATATTTCAGAATGTTATAATAAATGACAGGGACACCCAGTAGATTTGCACGGTACACTTTCATGTACAGGAGTCCACTCCCTTCTTTTCTTTTATTTTTTTTTTTTTATCCTTTCCTTCCTTCGAGATCAATCGATATACTTTTCCTTGATGAGTCATTCGATCGTGCCGCGCGTGTACTACTACTACTACTACTACTACTACTACTACTACTACTACTTGAAATAGGTTGATCTCATGTCAAATTATCTCGTTTCAAAAGAATACATAAAATTACGAAAATAGGATAATAGGATAAATCAAGACTTCAAAAATAAAAAAAAAAATAAAAGAAAGAAAAAAAGAAATCATTAGACTAAATACTAATCAACTTTTATTAATCAACGTTTTTGAACAAAACAAAAAACAAAGCAATAAAATAAAATAAAAAAATAAATATAAAAAAAAAATCGAAAACATTCAACACAACGCAAACATTCAAAATCATATTATTATTACCATTGAACAAAAAATTACATTTCCACGATACTAAATTTAAAAAAAAAAAATTAAATAAAATAAAAAACAAACAATTCAAAAATCAATCTTCGTTATTTTACAAATTAGTTTTATAATTTATTAATTATAGATTTAATTATATATTAAATTAAATTTATTCTACGATTCTCAAATACAAAAAGAAAAAAAAGATACAAAATGTAAAAAACAATTTCCATTATTTAACAAATCAGTTTTATAATTTATTAATTATATTTAATTATTTTAATATCATTTAATTATTTTAAATATATTTAATTATTTATTAATTTATAAAATAATAATTATAAATATACAAAAATTGTGTGTGTGTGTGTTTTTTTTAAACTACCATGGATTAATATAAATACATACATATATATAATTTTTTGTATATTTGTGTGAATTTTTGTTTATTATATAAATAACATATATAAATTATATATAATTATATATAGGTATATTAATTAATTATATATAATAATTTAATATATTATTTAACAAATTTATATTTCTTTCTAAGATTAACGTTAACAAGTAACGTCAATTATGATGAAATACCAAACAAACAAACAAACAAACAAACAAACAAATAAATAACAAGGAATAAAAATAGAATTAAAAAAAGAAAAACCCCAAGTATACAGAATTATCTAGTAGACAATTAAATTAGTCTTACGACCTGTCGGTTCGATATTAATAAAACTAAGGGGATGTCGGCATGCTTGTCGTCTGGGGGGTAAAAATACGGGCCGTGAACGTAAGCCGGTAGAGAGTAGCTTTTATGTTAGAGAAAAATACGACTTTTTCGTATTTCCTTCTCTCTCTCTCTCTCTCTCTCTCTCTCTCTCTCTTACACTCATTCATTCACTCACTCACCCTTTCATTCCTTTTCTTTTTTTTTCTTTTTTTACTATCCTTCCTACCCTTCTTTTCCTATCCCTTTCTCTCTCTTTTTCTTTCTAATTTTTTTCTTTCTTTCTCTTTCACTAACATACTCACTCTTTTTAAACTATCTCTCTTTCCCTTTCTATTTCTCTTTCTTTTTTATATTTTTTTTTTTTTTTTTTTTTATACGATCGAAATGTACTCAGGCTAATGGCGTACCTAGTGTCTCTTTCTATTTTCTATTTTCTATTTCTTTTTCTTTCTTGTTTGTAGATGAAAACACGCGTTTCCGTCGAAGATGGTCTAGCTATCGTTATCCGGTATTGTATTCCGGGGAAAAATGATAGTCTCTACCTCCTACCCCTCCCCTTTCCCCTTTTCACCCTTTCCCATCCCCTTCAGTTGTAGAACTTCGATGGAGAACGAATAACTATCGTTAGCTTCGTAGATATCTTTCTAGGATAGATAACAGAAAAGAATGACGTGTATGGAAAAATGGTAAAAAGAAAGAAACTTTCTTTTTGTGTATTTATATATCTATGTATGTATGTATGTATGTATGTGTGTGTGTGTGTGAGAAAGAAAAAGAGAGAGAGAGAGGGAAAGAGAAATATAAACTATAGATAGTAGCTTTTGTTGAAACAAAATGGGTCATCCTTTACTATTTGGTTTTGTTTATTTTATATAGTGTATTATTTTTATATTTTTCATATTTTATTATATATAATTTTAATATGTAACATAAAATATATTATAATATATTATACTATATATAATATATTAACATATATATATCATATTATATGTTAAAATATGTTATAATATATTTTATATTTATATAAATGTATATTATAATATATTATATTAATTATAATATATTATATATTGAATATTATATATATATAATTTTATATTAATATATATCACATATAAATAAAATTTATAACATATATTTATAATATATATTTATATAATATATTATATATTATATATTAAATTATATTTTTATATATTATATAAAAATATTGCAAATAAATAAATTATTAATATTGTGTGTGTGTGTGTGTAAATAATTAAATTATAAAATAAATAAAATTATTAAAATTATTATATAAATATATTATTATAAATTAATTTAATTATATATAATAATTTGTCTATTTGTTTTTGTTGTTGTAATAATTAAAATAATTATTTATTAAAAAATTGTTTTTTTTTTCATTTTAAACATATATAAATAATGTTATATATATATAATTTGTTATTATTATTTATTTTACAGAGGTTCCAGTGGTCCAGCAGTTATGCGCACAAAGAATTATGCAACTTGAAGGGTCGCAGCGACGACGAGTGTCAAAATTATTTGCGTGTGTTTGGTAGACAAAGTCCAAATAAGGTTCTCGTTTGCGGCACGAACGCTTACAAACCGTTATGCAGGCAATTCACGATCAAGGTGAGTTTTTACCTTTGTGTTCTATTCATTCACTTRCTTACTTTCATAATACATACATCATAGGTTTGTAAAATATAACGCGTATCGATAAAATCTTTCGTAAATCGATGTTACTACCTTAACACAAAGAAAAACGGGCCCACACATCCACATAAACACAAGCACACACATACATAGTGACCCTTCTAAACAGAACTGGAAGAGAAACTGTGAACTGTGTGAACTGTTGAAGTTTAAAGGGAAGAAATACAAGAGTTGAGAATGGGGTGGGGATATGAGGGTTAGTGTAGGTAGAAAACAAGGGTTGAAAAGTCACCCTCCTTTAAGTAATCACCCTTATACTACTACAACTATTATCCACATAAAAAAACCCCCAAATACCGTAAACCCAAAGCAAGCAACCAAATAAACCTACCCACCAACCAACCTACCTAGTTTACTACCCCCTTTTCTCGTCACACTACCAACACCCTTTGCACCCTTCTATTTTCAAGCCTAGCCCCTGGCGTCCGGCCTGAAGGCGTCTTAATAATGGCACGTCATGGAAAAGCTTCGTCGTCATGACGGGAATAACGACGACGACGACGACGACGATGACCTGGTAGAGTGAAAAGGATAAAAGAGAGAAAGAAAATGACTGACTGAGTAAGAATGAGTGAGCAAGAGTGAGAGGGTTGTCACTTTGGAAAGGGTTGAATGACGGAAAGAGAAGAAAAGCCACGGGACCTAGCTGAGCGTGATTTATCTCCCACGTTTTATATCTTCTTCTTCTTCTTCTTCTTCTTTTTCTTTTTCTTTTTTTTTCTTTCTTTTATTATTCTCTTTCTCTTTCTCTTTCTGTTTTCTTTTCTTTCGTTTACCATTAGGTATATGTGAAAGAAAGAAAGAAAGAAAGAAAAATAGACCAAGGGGATGGATAGATGGATGTACAGTCACGCGTAGGTGGATTTTTATCCCTTAAAGAAAAGAAAATCGTGGATGAGCAACCGTGTGTCCTTCTGATTAAATCCCTTACGTTAAACGAATACCATCATCCCCTAACTTCATCCCTACAATTCGTTTTCTTATTCTATCTTTCCATCTTTCTGTCTTTCTATCTTCCTTTTTTTCTTTCTTTTTACATTTATCTGATTTATGTATGTATATATATTATATTTATTTATTTATTTATTTATTTATTTATTTGGTTATTTTCTTATATTATTTTATTTTTTATTTTTCTATTTTTCTATTTTTCTATTTTATATATTTAAAATTTTATATATTTTATATTTCCTATTTTTTATTTTATATATTTTATATTTTATATTTTTTTTTGTTTTATATTTTTATATTTTTGCATTTTAAATTTTATATATTTTATATTTTTTATTTTGTATTTCTTATTTTTATAGTTTTTTATTTTAAATTTTATATTTTTATATTTTTATATTTTTATATTTGTACATTTTTATTTTAAATTTTATATATTTCTCTTGCACACAAGATATAGTAAAAAGAGTAAAAGAGTGGGGAGAAGTGAGGGAAGTGGGGTAAGGGAAGAAGAAGGGTGTCTTTGACCTTTATCCAACGATTTAATCACTTTATTCCTCCTCACAAATTCTCCTTCGAATTTCAAGTCACGGACATAGATAATCAGCTTTTCTTCCCAATGGTAGTTGGATGGGTGGAATTGATGGGGGAGAGTTGTGGGTGGTGGTGGTGGTGGTGGTGGTGGTGGTGTATGAACAGTCGATGTCATAGCAACTCCCATTGGCGATTCCTTCTTCGATTCATCTTTCTTCTTCATTTTCTTTCTTTCCACCAACCCCCAACTTTTCCACTTCTTTCTCTTATTCGTTTCCCCCATCCCTTCCCCATGACCACCCATACCACCACCCTTTTCTCAATTTCTTCGTTATTGTTCTTACGTTCGTATCTGTGAGTAAATTGAAGAAAGGAAGTGCACAAGAAGGGGTTTACTCAAAAGAAAGATTCCCCCTTTTTTTTCCTCCCCTCCCTCTCCTCACCTTTGTGAAAATTATACCATAAAAAAAGAAAGAAATTCCCTTCCTTCACCCCTTTTCCGGTCTCCCTTTTTTTTCTTTTTCTTTTTCTTTACCGTGGTTCGATGAATGCGAATAATAAAAGCATTTCGTTCCGCTTTCTTTGTAGAATTAACGTGAATTTTTGTTGTTGTTATTGTTGGTTGTGTGTGTGTGGTTACTTTTAATATAATATTGAATTACTATACTTGAATTTTATCTTGCAATATTATAATAAATATAATAATATAATAATTTGATTCTATAATAAATATAGTAATATATATATAATAATTTTATTTTATAATAAATATACTAATATAAATATAATAATTTAATTATATAATAAATATAGTAACAAATATAATAGTTTTATTCCATAATAAATACAGTAATAAATATAACAATTTTATTCTATAATAAATATATTAATAAATATAATAATTTTACTTTATAATAAATATAGTAATATATATAATAATTTAATTATATAATAAATATAGTAACAAATATAATAATTTTATTCTATAATAAATATAGTAATAAATTTAGTAATTTTAATAATACATTTTATTACAATAATACATAAATATAATAATTGTAATTGTTCAGGTGCATTTTATCTTTTATCTTTTATTTTTTATTTTTTATTTTCTTTCTCAATTCACAAATATACCATCATTCATTTAAATTTCATAATACAAAATAATAAAATTGTTTACTCGTACCATTGTGCACATTTGTTTTATTTTTTTTTTTTTATTTTTAAATAAAATTGTTACAAAGTTGCATTTATATTTAGATAGATAAATTGGTAGATAGAATGATCTATATATCTTCTTACGTTACGTTAGGAAACAAAATATCACGTGTCGTGATGTTGTCTCGTATGTCGTTAAGTAAGAATTTCTTTTTCTTCTTCTTCTTCTTCTTCTTCTTCGAAAAATAAAAAGAAGTAGAAGAAGAAGAAGAAGTAATCGTTCAAAAGAGAAAGAGAGAGAGACTACACTACACTTTTAAGTTATTTCTCTCTCTCTCTCTCTCTCTCTCTCTCTCTTTCTCTCTCTTTCTTTAACGTGATATCGAAAAACGTAGTTTTCCCTTGATGGAAAGAAAAGTGGTGTGTATCCTCTTTCGACATACCAATATCTATCCCTTCACCCCTCTCTACCCCTTCCCTTTACCCCTTCTTAACGTATTATCGGTCCTTCAACCGTAGATACCTATTACGTTTTACAAACTTTTTCAAACTGTAAACCGAAGCTAATTTTACGTTATAGATATAGATATACATATACACGAACAAAACTAAAACTCCAAATTTTCTATCTACCCTTCTTTTTCGTTGTTTTTTTTTTTCTTTTTGATCTTTTCTTTTTTCTTTTTTCTCTTTCGAATAACTTAGAAGAAATTTCTACTTTGAAATTACTTCTCTTATATACTATACTTTAACTACTACCTCCATTACCAACACTCACCACCACTGTGCCAAGACTCACTTTAAAAAAATATATATTTAACCTTATTATAAAAAATATCAACCTTACCCTCTGAAGTTGCTTAAAAGAATTTTTATTATTAATAATTTTTCATTATTTGTTTTTTTTTTTTTTTTTTTTTTTTAATTTAATTTCGTATTTTATTCGTGAATATTTTCTTTTTTTTTTTTTATGTCGAGAAATATTAATTGTATTACACAAATATTTTATTTGATAAATTTATTTAAGCAAATATACTTTTTTTTTCAAATATTTTATATATTATATATTTATAATATATACAAATTATTATTTAATATAATTATATTATAATTATAATTAGAATATTTAATATATCATATTATTTTATTATATATATATTATTATATATTTAATATAATAATATAATAAAATTAAAAAGTTCAATTTAGGGTTAATAAAAAATATTAAATATACAATTTTATATATATATATATATATATATAGTAATTTTTTAAAAATTATTAATTACATAAAAAATATTAGATTTTCAATATTACAACAGCTTGAAAAAAAAAACTTAAATTTAATTTACAAAACTATTTGATATAAATCATTTATATTACTGTATAATTAAAAATTTGTAAAATAAATTACAAATATAATAAAAAAAAACACACACACACACACAATTATTATTATTATAAATTAATATTACAGATTTTCAAATAGTATAATAATATGTAAATTTGATTCTATTATTTGAACAATTTTTGGCAGCCTAAAATCATATAAAGAGTTTATATAAAATGATATCTTTCTCCGGCTTAATCTTACAAACGTATACTTGACTACTACAACTATTATTATTACTATAACTATTACTACTACTAGTATTACTAGAAGTGTACTATCTACCTTCCCTAGCATGACTTTATTCCATCGGGAATCTAATTTTCTCTTGGCCTAACCAGAAAACTTGGCGACTTTACTTTTGCTGGCTTGGTGTCGAATGTCGTTAAAAACTCGTCGAATAATCCGATGAACGGAGAGTTCACCTTTGCCAGAAAGATCAAAATAAGAAGATAAAAAGATAAGGTAGATAGCTAGTAGTTGAGATATTATTTAAGGGTTGAAGAGTTTTCTTTTTATTATTTTTTATTCTTTTTTTTGTTTTTAAGGTTCTTACCTTTTATATATATATATATAATGAAAAATGAAAAATTAAACCATATCGGATTATTATCTTAGATATTTATTTATTTATTTCAATTTATTACTAGTTAATTAATTAATCATTTTATCTTTTTAATTTCATGAAGATTATAGTGTTTTGTCTGAATTATTATAACATAATTGTTATTTCATTAACACCCTATTGATTTTTCATTATTTTTGTTTCGAAAGTGAATTATGGTTGTTCTTTTTTTTTTTATTTTATCTTTCTTTTCTTTGTTTTTTTTTATTTATGTTTTAGTTTAATTAATCGATTTCAATGTTAACTTCAATGAATCGTTGG